AACCCTGCCAGATAAAGTGGCCTATACGCCGGAATTTGATCAGCTTATGCTGACCTTTATGGAACTAGGGGGCCGCGACCCACGGAGGGGGGGATTGAGAAGAGTTTTAAAGGAGCTCAGGATAAACTCCTAGACACAATGGGCCCTTTGGCCCGAGTTATGTACCTGGCGGACGAAGCATACGCCAGAGCGGACTCCTTCACGGCAGACATGGTGCAAGAATGGGCCCAGAGGGGCTTTTGTTTCCTCGGTAATACGAATGCGGCCCTCTCTACGGAGCGGCGCCGGGCATCACTTTTTCGTATCGACCCCAAATTGGTTGACCTAGGGGTCAAAGAATTGGGCCCACAGGCACAGGGCAAGCTCTTTGTTGAAGCTTTTATGAAGGAACTAAATAAGCACGTAAACGTCTTTACCTCCTTGAATAGGGCCCGCACGTCCATGCGTAAGGTCTTCCGAGGTACCTCCGCAAAGGGTGTTTTTTCCAGGGCTGGTCGGCAGCGGGGCTGTGCCGCCAGCCGTTTCTGGCCTTCAGGCCCCCGTATGGGCTTCCAACACCAATTCTTCCCTCAACAAGGTTACCAGGGCAGCGGAGCCAAACAACCATTCCCCTACTACCAAAGGGGTTCTGACAAAGGACGAGGTGGTCGAGGACGAGGCCATGCACACTTCCCTACAGGTAAGAGACCACCTTTGTTCGATACCTCATATAACTATGATTGCAGGCCGTGTCTTACTTTTTTCCCAGAATTGGGCCCAACTGTCCACGGACGCTTGGGTGCTACAGACCGTTCAAGGATATTGAATAGAACTCCGATCACAGCCCATTCAAAGGTTCCCCCCTTATCCTTTGCGTCTCTTGGCTGCGGACACTCGCCTCATAAACAGGGAACTCCGCGAGCTTCACGTAAAGGGCACTATAGAACCTGCGCACACAAGGGGAGGATTCTTCAGCAACATGTTCCTCGTCCGCAAGAAGACCGGGGACTTCCGGCCAGTGATCAATTTGAGAGGACTAAACACGTTTGTGACCTACCACCACTTCAAAATGGAGGGCTCCAAGAAAGGGATTGGTTTACGCGTCTAGACCTCAAAGACGCTTATCTGACGATTCCAATCCACGCGGACAGCCGTCCATTTCTCCGCTTTCTCTGGAACGGCACGCCATGGCAATTCACGTGCCTTCCGTTCGGACTGAGCTCAGCACCGTGGTGCTTCACGAAAATGCTAAAGCCAGTGGTATCGCATCTCCGAACACACGGGATCAGATGCATTATTTATCTGGACGACATTCTCTTCTGCAGAACAAGGGAACTGGCCATCCAGCACACTACATATACAGTACGACTGTTAGAATCCTTGGGCTTCGTTGTCAACAGGGCAAAATCCGCAATGACGCCTGCTCAGCGAATCCAATTCCTGGGCTTCGAGATCGAGTCCAGGTCCTGCACCCTGCATCTCCCGTCCGCCAAAGTGACGGCCATCAGGAAGGAGATCCGCAGGGTTCTCAAATTGGATTCCATTCCGCTCCGTCAACTAGCGCAGATTGTGGCACTCTTATCTTCAATACAAGACATATTTCCGGGACCCCATCACTACCGAGCGATGCAACGGCTGAAGGCCAGCCTTCTCCTCCAAAACCCCACATACAACCACCCGTCCCGCTGTCGGAAGAAGTATACCAAGAACTCCAGTGGTGGCTCCACTGCATGCAGGCCTGGAATGGTCGGGCCATCTTCGGCAGTCAACCGGACTTCATCCTGGAGTCGGACGTGAGCCACGTGGGATGGGGCGCCACGGATGGAGAAACGTCCACAGGGGGCACGTGGACACCACAGGAACTGTCAATGCATAAAAATTGCCTCAAACTCCTAGCGGGCTCTTTTGCTGTCCGCAGCCTTACAAAAGGGCAGTCCAATTGCTGTATACTATTAAGAATAGACAATGTATCCGCAGTACGATACATCAACCGCCTGGGGGGCACCCGGTCGAGAACCCTGGCGCATCTGACTAAGGAAATCTTCGACTACTGCCTCCCGCGCAATATCACACTACGGGCAGAACACCTGCCGGGGGAGACTAACCTCACGGCGGATTGGTATTCCCGTCATTGGAGGGATGCCAGCGACTGGCAACTGGATCCGTGGATATTCGCACATTTGTAGGACCAGAAGGGACCCTTTCTACTGGATCTCTTTGCCTCACGAAACAACCGGCAGGTCCCGCAATTCTACAGCTGGCTACCGGACCCGGATTGTACAGCGGTAGATGCATTCACTCAGCACTGGCCACAACAGGGAGCATATGCCTTTCCCCCATTCGCCATGATTGCCAGAGTTCTCAATCATCTTTGCAGACGGAGGGTCCGACTAACCCTGCTGACGCCCCTCTGGCCGAGTCAGCCCTGGTTCCCGGACCTTCTCGAACTGTCTTATCAGGACCCGATCCTCCTACCGAACGACGACATGTTACTCAGGGACCCGGCGGGAAACTCACATCCGATGGTGTCAGACGGCCGTCTGACCTTAGTGGCCTGGACTCTTTCAGGGGAACCTGGCGTCCGCATGGAGAGCTTGGACCAGTTGGTGCGTGGGACGGGACTTGGATCCCTTTACAGCCCCTGTTTCCGATGTCATGAATTTTCTTAGCCCTATTCGAAGAAGGGAAGTCGTACCGCACCATAAATGTCACGAGATCATTCATCTCGGCAGCACACGTGCCGTTTCAAGGAAGGGCAGTCAGACAGGATCCGCTAATATGCCGGCTGCTACGGGGTATCAAACTAAGGAGACCTCCAGCACCTAAATATCAACATCTCTGGGATGTGGAGATAGTCCTTCGTTTTATCAGGAACTGGCCTCCCAACGAACAGCTCTCATTGAAACAACTGATGGCGAAGTTCACCTTCCTGTTGTGCATGGTGTCCTTCCGGAGCGTGGCTGACGTTCGGACTTTCGATAAGGACACCTTCTCCGTTGGCCCCGAAGGAGTCACGTTTCACATATCACAGCGTAATAAATCCAATACAACTTCAGTGTTCTATCCGTTTTTTCAATTCGGATCCCCAACTATGCGTGGTCCGGGCCCTCCGAGCCTACGTGTCGGCAACGGAAGGCTTGCGCTCACCGTCCGCGCGACACCTATTTCGAATCATATGTGAATCCACACGGCCCAGTCTCGGTCATCGCATTGGCCAGATGGGTCAGATGGATTCTCGCTCTAGCCGGGGTAGATGCCTCATTTGGCGCACACTCCGAGGGGCAGCGGCATCGTCGGCCTTTTTAGCAGGCGCCTCTCTGGCGGATATCCTACACACGGCAGATTGGTCCCGGGAATCTACCTTTCGGACCTTCTATTTTCGCCCGTCGTCCAATGTCGCCTTCGCTCTTCTACCTAAGCGTTAAAACTGCAAATACGAAGCCTCCTGTCATGTTATAAAATTGAAGATTATGCTAGCGCAGTGTACTAATAATCTTAATTTTAATAATGACAGGAGGCGAGTATTTCCCACCCTTTCATTCTCCTAGAAGTTCCCGCCCAGATGGAGGTAAGTTGTTGGTAGGAGTAGATTGGTTCTTTATCTGGACTTACTCACTTGGATTACATATTATGCTGTTTGTTATAGGGCTATTGAACTAGTTGGTATGGTGGAATTTTAAGATCTCTTTATTGACTAGTTGATTCATAACAGACAATTGGTTTTCTTTGGTCATCCCCGTATCACTGATACTAGTCTCTCTCTCTTTTCAGTTTGACAAGCCACAGGGATGATGGGAAGGCTGGAGAGGCTATTGTTATGACCATGTTGGATTTCGTTATGACAGTTGGAATAAAGTTACAACGGACTTATTACTACATTTGGATCTTGTGATGTCGCAGTAGTCAAGAGGAAATGGTTGGCTACGCTGGGACTTATATATCCTCTGTTTTGCTCTGATTGGTTCTTTCTTTAATGTTTTTTTTTTTCTTTGCTGCTGTGGAGCTAGTAAAGAAAGTTAATGCAAATACTCGCCTCCTGTCATTATTAAAATTAAGATTATGCTAGCGTAGTGTACTAATAATCTTCAATTGTAGATGTTGCCTAATAACCAGCCTGGTGGATGAAATGACCATTCGTGGTTTTGGTATTGCATATGGAAGTAAATCAAGGCAAACTGGATGAAATACGACAAAGCAATTATTATCACAGCACTGGATAAAATATGGCTCATAGGTGCAATACAGCATTTTGGATGCAATAGGAAAATTTAAGTATGATAGACTAAGTACGTAATAATATCCAGTAAAGGGAGTGAATGATATAATACTGCAAGTCACTTTTACTCAAACAAAACTTGAAGCAGGCAAGTGGCGGCTTAAAACGTAAAGGCTTTGATAGATGATACGGTCGAGTTTTCTACTATTCCTCGTTAAACTGTATTTTAGAGCTGGGTTCTGCACCTTCACAATGCCATTAAATATGTACAGGCTTATAGTGAAGGATGAGTCCAAGCACCATAGCCACTACAGCATGCTTAGTAGTTATGGTGCTCGGAGTATTCCTTTAATTATTACCTAATTCCAAGTACATACCCCACTACTTACGGCACAGTAAAACAACTGACCATGCAGCCAGCCCACCTCTACATGAGTACAGACCCCATGTACAGTAATGGGTCATGGGCAATGATGCTGCAAAAAACTTTATTTTTTAAAAAGGGTATTGGTTATTTTTCATATTGTGATTAGTAAGAAAAGCACACACAAGAGCCCAAAAACAATACAGGCCACAGACTGTCTTTCAGAATGATTTCCCTCGCTCCCAGTAACTAAGTAAAATATTTTGCTCTTTGATTCAACAGTAACCACAAATGCTTAACGGCACAAGGGCAATAGTGTAGGTAATAATATATTGACTCCTTTCATAAGGCCATAATAAATTTAAGAATTCTGATTCGTAATCAAAGATATTTTTACATTCATCAAATTTTAATATATGAAACTACATGTACAATGCTATAAATTCCTTTTCATATGTTTTTATAATTAAAAGTGAGCAATTCTTATGGCCTTGGTATAATATACAAATATGTGCGCTATCATGGCTTACACAGCACGAACATTAAAGAAAAAAATTCTCAGATTAAATACTGAAAAACTGAAGCATGATTTTAAGTAGTCTTAGTCTACAGTAAATATTGGTAGAAGTGATTTAATTTGAGTGGAAAGGTAAGGAAGGAACCGCTTACAGCCCATCGATCAAGAAAATGTTCTGGATTCCACGCCTAAAATAAATTTCTTGGTCCATTGGAGTCATTTCCATTCGTCTGTTCACGTCTGCATGGAAACAACATGGCAACATTTATCATACAATTGTGTAGAATGGTGTATGGCATTCACTTGTCTTCTAAAATGAGTCACAGGTATAAGTGTCATATTCAGATCAGCCCCAACATTAAAACCACTGCCAGGTGAATAACACTGATCATATCATTAAAATGGCACCTATCAAGGGGTTGGGCTATATTAGGCAGCAAGTGAATAGTCAGTTCTTGAATTTCATGTGCTGGAAGCAGGAAAATTGGACAAGCAAAAAGACCTGAGTGATTTTGACAAAGGCCAAATAGTGATGGCTAGATGACTGGGTCAGAGCATCTTGAAAACAGCAAGCATTGGGTCATGGACACCAGGGCTCATTGATGCATGTGGGGAGCAACTGCTATCCCATATAGTCCAATCACACAGAAGAGCTACTGTAGCTGAAATTGATCAAAAATGTAATGCTGGCCATGATAGAAAGGTGTCCGTACACACACTGCTTTGTAGCTTGCTGCGTATGGGGCTATGTAACCGCTGACTGATCAAAGTGCCCATCGTGACCTCTGTCCATCACCAAGAGCACTTTCAATGGGGATGTAAGCATCAGAACTGGACAATGGAGGAAGAGTGAGAGAGAGGAAGAAATACACTGGAGACAGTGTTTCAGTAATAGTTTGAGGAACATGACAAAGAGTTGATGGTGTTGTCTTGGTCTTCAAATTCCCCTAATCTTAGTCCAATTGAGCATCTGTGACACATTCAGAGGTCTTGTGGAGTCCATGCCTCAATGCATCAGAGCGGAGTTGGCAGCACAAGGGATATCTACATGATATTAGGCAGTTGAATTTTAATGTTGTGGCTGATGAGTGTATAGTGATCTATTGGCACCAAACCAAATGTCTGCAACATTTGGTTTGGTGCTAATAGCTCACTATTTCAGTGCTGGAGATCAGTTTATAATAACCAGCGTGGTAAAATATTACATAGAAAATGGATTACCAACATGGGTGGAGAAATGCAAAATGTTAATCTGTGCATAACAGCGATTCCATGTTACTAGGCCTTGTGCTCATAGGTGATGTATTAAACTATTTATCACCAGTTTTCATTTTATGACTTTCTTAAGCATGGTCTACATGACTCCTCTTTTATGACTTTCTTCATACTTTTCTGATTACTGATCAGTCTTTGGCTCCAGCAAGTCTATCTTTAAAATGCTATGATCCATAAGCAATCACCAACTCTGTTCTGGTCCTCATTTTGATCTGTACTGTCTCTCTGGGTGATCTGATAAGTTCCTTTGAATCCCAGTACCACTTTTATGATGGATTTAATCAGTTTGGTCTTCTGTGATCCTTATTTTTCTCCCAGATTGTGTCACCAATTAAGGTGACAATTTTGGAACCATAACCAAAATATGCAAATACCCTATAAGGTGACAGCAACTTTAAGAAGACCTGTTCCATTAGGACCTTTCTACTCTTCCAACAATCTATGCGTGTCCTCTGTTTCTATTTGCACCTCCACCTTTTGCCTACATGACTTGTCTAGAGCACCAGTGGCATTATGGAATTTCTTTTCCTGCCCAAAATAACTTCCCCTGTTCTTCTAAAATCTGTACAAAAAAACACTTCTATATAAAACTATTAGAACTAACCAGTTAGTCTTTCTCCACTGCCTCAACTACCCTTTGTGTTCACTAATTGTTCTCTGTTTAAATCATACAATGTTCTTACACTTTATATTATTAAGAAACTAGACAATATGTTCACTGTATAAATTATATGTATATAAAATAGAGTGCTAATAAATACATATAGTGGGTGGCACACAGTGATAAATCACAAAAAACATGTACAGTGATATGGTGAGTAGAAATACAGCATAAATACCCTATATAGCTTCCTCTCGGGGGTAGCTGGAAGAGATAATATATGGCAGTACAGTCTGTACTGCCAGATATAGAGTGCAAGTGCAGGTACTTATATACATCCAACTCACATTTTACTGAGCCTGTAATACACTGGCTCAGGTAAATCAGCATGAAAGGAGTAAACTTGATTTTGGATGAAGGCTTGCAGAAATATTCTCCACAATATAGGAATAAGAGAAGGCTCCAGGTTAAAAAGAGATCCAATTTATTCATATAACACACATAAAAATTTTTTTTTAAAAATCTTACATCGCGTAAGGTGCCTTCAGCAATAAGTCCTTCCTCATAGGGATGTGCATGGGGACAATTTTTGGTTCGGCTCGGCATTCCGAAATTCGGAACTTCGGTGGTTCGGTTCGGCACTTCGGAATTTAAGGATTTTGGCACTTCGGGACTTATCTTGCAGCTGCTTAGTAGATAACTCCCTAATTCCCACAGTATTAGGGAGTTATCTACCAAAAGGCCGAAAGTCTTAAATTGGTCTTTCAGCCACATTTACTAATACTAAGTAAAAATTACTTCGTATTAGTGAGTAGGGGCATGTCTATTAAACAGCCTGTGGCTGCTCACTGCTAAAAACAAACAAAAAAACATTCCCCCCTAAAGTAAACTAATGGGGGGGGACCTATTGTCCTCTCCCCTGGTCCCCACCCCTGAGCGGCGGGTGGGGGCCCTAAGTTAGAATAAGGGGGGGGACCTATTGTCCTCCCCTGGCCCCCACCCCTGAGCAGTGGGTGGGGGCCCTAAGTTTTCCTGGCTCCTACCCCTGAGCGGTGGGTGGGAGCCCTAAATTAGAATAAGAGGGGGGTGGACCTATTGTTCTACCCCCTGACCCCCACCCCTAAGCGGCGGATGGGGGCCCTAAATAGTCACCCCCTCCCCAAAAAAATAACTCCTACCTACCCCCCTCACCCTAAAAATAATGATGGGGGACCATAAACTAGGTACCTGTAAAAAAAAACAAAAAAAAAAACTTACCATTTGATGTCTTCTTTCTTCTAAAATCTTCTTTTTTCAGCCCCAAAAAAGGCCAAATAAAAATCTATAATAACTGATGCACTTTGAACAAAAAACAAAAACAAAAAACAACCCGAGCGCAAAAAGAAAAATCCATCTTCACCCATGGAGGGCTCCTCGCAGACTGAGCTCTGCTGGGTGGGGCAAGGCTTATAAAGCCTTGCCCCACCCTGCAATTAGACTCAGAGTGCTCTGACAGGTAAATGAATAGACTGACAGGTAAGTCTCTACATTTAACTGTCACAGCACTCTGGTTAGCTTGAAATCCAGCCAATCAGAGTGCTCTGTGTCATTTTATACAGCATGGGAAAGTTCTTTGGAATTTTCCCACGCTGTGTAATTTGACTCAGAACTCTCTGGTTACTTTCAATCCACTAATCAGAGTGTTGTTATGAGTCAAATTACACAGCGTGGGAAAATTCCAAAGAACTTTCCCACGCTGTGTAAAATGACACAGAGCACTCTGATTGGATGGATTTCAAGCTAACCAATCAGAGTGCTGTGACAGGTAAATGTAGAGACTTACCTGTCAGTCTCTTCATTTACCAGTCAGAGCACTCTGATTGGATGGCTTAAACCAACCAACCAACCAGAGTGCTCTGAGCCTAATTGCAGGGCGGGGCAAGGCTTTATAAGCCTTCCCCCGCCCTGAAGAGCTCAGTCTACGCAGAGCCCTCGATGAGTGAAGATGGATTTTTTTTTGGGGGTTTCATGGATATTTATTTGGCCTTTTTTGGGGCTGAAAAAAGATTTTTTTGTTTGCCTTCTCCTCCTCTCCTTTCCTGTGTGGCGTTTTATAAGCTGGGAAAAAGCAATTTGCCTTCTTCCTAATGTGGCGTCTGAACTGGTAATCTGACAGGGGCTCAACCATGTTGCAAAAGGACTGTGGCACCCAAAGGGACCCCCTGCTTGTGAGTGCTTATACAGCCTCTCTGTCTCCACTGACAGTACTTCAGACGCTGGTTTTGTCCACCAGACCTACCCATATGTTTTCATTTTTCTTTCAGTATATGTATAGAATATATAGAATTACAAGAATACCCCAAAAAATATTTTAAGAGTATTAAAACCTCATTCCTACTCCCTTGCAATTCTCCACTTGATACAACATGTCCCCATGCACTTCAATAGTGAAAGCGTAGTATGAGACAAATCTCATTGATCCTTCATACCGGACCATTAAGCAAACGGGTGGTAGAAACACATAGCCTTGGGGCCCTGTGATATTCAGGACATGGTTGAAAGTGTTTCAAAAGAACAAAATATATCTATGGATAGGGCAAATCTACCCGTTCCATAGACTAAACACCTTTATTGACACTCCAGCAGTGTCATATGGGGCTTAACCCCTATTACTAGAATATCGAAGAAAAAATAATAAATTCACATATCTGAAGAAACACTCCAGATGTGTGAATAGTAACTGGAAATTAGGTTGAATGAAATAATATCAATAAAAAAATGTTTGTGAATTTACCAGAAAAAAGTCAAAAAACGATCAATACAATTCATGGTTGAAAGTGCATGCTGTTGCCCAACCTCCATAAATAAACATTGAAAATAATGGGATTGACTGAACGTTTCTTCCTAGGGTGAGCAGAACTAACTTTAGAAGTGCCAAATCCTCCTTTTATGTTTTGCTGAACTTTTTTTTAATGAATTAACTTTATAATTAGGACAAACTCCAGCCTGGTGTGTCAGTGTAACATGCAAATGTAAATTAATTAGGTATGCCCAGGTGCCTTTTTTATTGGGGTTATAATATCATAATAGAATATCACAGAACTTTATAGTGCTCCACAGGAAGGGAGGTTGCGGGAACAATCGTGCTTGTGAGAAAAGACTACCAAAGCTACACCTCTTAAGGGACACTCCAAACCTAATGTGCTTTAGTTTGCTCTAAAGCTTAATTTGTGATTGTGTCCTTTTTTTTTTTTTTTTTTTGCAAAAAGTACAGATTTCAGTAGAAATCGACACTTTAAAAAAAATAACCTTGTTAGACCCCCTTTGCTTTCAAGACAAATGATCAAGTTACTTCCTTGTTTTGTTAGGTCAGTGGAGATAAACTCATGAGGCAGAAATTGCTCAGAGCACCTGCATTGCAAAGACTTTTCAATGAGCTGCATTGAGAAGTCTGTGATTGGACAGCCACAGAAAGTCTAGGCGAGGTTAAAAGGGGAGAGTTTGCAAAGGCAGCAGGCAAGAGATCTGCATTTTTTGCAAGCTGTTTTTATATATACCAGCAATGTAAAATAGCGTAATCAAATGCATACAAGTTTTCATGTAGCGTATATATCTACTAAATAGTGATTTTTATTTATTTTTTATTTTGGAGGTTGGGAGACTAGACATGGAGATAAATAAACATTCTTTGGGCCCAGTAAGAAACTACTATGGTTGCAATGTTCGCTATAGTGATGGGTTCCAGGCTGGTCATGTCCTACCCTTGCAAGGTTTTTATGTAATATATTGTCGTTTTAAAGATTGCAAGGGAATTCTTGCTAAGCACTCCCTTGCAGTCCCAGCTCTTATACAATGAGTCAAAGCGCTACAACAGAATTCCCATGGCAATGTTCTAACTCATTGGATGCCCATTGATGGTAAGGAGCAAGGGCTGTGGTCTGCACCCACTAGACCAGCAGAGAGCCTACCAGCAGCATCTTCCCAGGACTACCAGGGATTAATTCAGTAACCACTGGACTACCAGGAACTAAACTTCCCTATCTGTATAAAAGAGAGGGATTTGATAATAAACACAGACACACATCCACACACACTATCACATTTAGCCAACTCCACACATAATTACATTCACCCAGTTGCCAATCACACTCTGCTAACACCACACACAGTCACACACGACCAATCACTCACACAAGGTGAGCGCTGTGACTTTCACTGATTCTTGCACTGGGGCCCTGACATTTCTAGTTACACCCCTGGGTCCAGTACTTTATTATACGTTGTAGCACTGAGCTCTTATCTTTCACCTGTGTAGGAGATACCAAGAGGTTTGGAGGAAAGTTTAGTACCTAGCACCCAAAGTGCGTCTTATTGTGCAACAGAATAGCATGCTATGCCAAGATAAAGATAATGAAACAAAACATAATTTAATACAAGATGTCCTACCTTTTTCCAATGACAACCAAGAAAACATTAAACCAATGGGTCTCTGGTTTCAGACAGACAACATTCTGGTTTCTTAGTTGGATGCTAAAATTGAAAACACAAAAAATAACTATAGGAAAACATGCAAAAGTATATTTTGTCACTAGAAAACATGGTTGTTTTTGGAAATATTGTCTAACAGGTTGTTTCTCTCCTACCCTTTCTTTTCAAGGCACATCTTCAAATTCCACATGAAAAAGTTAATGCTTGTTAAGATTCATCAAGGCAAAACAGTTGCTATTCTTGGTTCAAAGTGCTAAAAGTTAAGGCATTCTACTGATTCCATTGTGACTTTGCCTTATTTACAATGGAGGCTAGCCCATAGACTCAGCTGTGGCAACTGCCCATGAGGTTTTCGTTGCAATAAAAATAAATACATTCATTCATTTTTCTCATTTGAGGGTTTTAACTTTTTTTTTTTTAGGTAAACATACTCCTTTAACCCCATAACACTGTGTTAGGGCATACTATGCCACCCTGCAAAAGCAGGGCTTTAACGCCGATAGGACAGCATAGTGCGCCCTAACGATCGTGCCCTGGATACTTGCCTTCCAGGCTCACCCAGATCGGGGGGACTGCCTGACAACTTAGGCAGTACCCCGCCAGCACATCCGGCCAATCTGGGCCTTGTGATAGAAACATAGAATGTGAGGGCAGATAAGAATCATTTGGCCCATCTAGTCTACCCAATTTGCTACTTTAATTAGTTCCTGGCCTTATCTTATAGTTAGGATAGCCTTATGCCTATCCCACATATGCTTAAACTCCTTTACTGTTTTAACCTTTACCACTTCAGCTGGTAAGCTATTCCATGCATCCACTGCCTGATACTTCCTGATATTATTTTTAAACCTTTGCCCCTCTAATCTAAGACTATGTCCTCTTGTTGTGGTAGTTTTTCTTCTTTTAAATATAGTCTCCTCCTTTACTGTGTTAATTCCCTTTATGTATTTAAATGTTTCTATCATATTCCCCCTGTCTCGTCTTTCCTCCAAGTTATACATTTTATGATCTTTTAACCTTTCCTTGTAAGTTTTATCCTGCAATCCATGAACCAGTTTAGTAGCCCTTCTCTCAACTCTCTCTAAAGTATCAATATTCGTGTGGAGATACGGTCTCCAGTACTGCATACAATACTCCAAGTGAGGTCCCACCAGTGTTCTATACAATGGCATGAGCACTTACGTCTTTCTACTGCTAATACCTCTCCCTATACAACCAAGAATTCTGCTAGCATTTCCTGCTGCTCTATTACGGTCTGCCTACCTTTAAGTCATCAGAAATAATCACCCCTAAATCCCTTTCCTCAGATGTTGAGGTTAGGACGGACTCTATCAAATATTCTGTACTCTGCCCTTTGGTTTTTACGTTCAAGATGCATTACCTTGCACTTATCCACATTAAATGTCAGTTGCCACAACTCTGACCATTTTTCTAGTTTACCTAAATCATTTGCCATTTGGCTTATCCCTCCTGGAACATCAACCCTGTTACATATCTTAGTATCATCAGCAAAAAGACATAACTTACCATCAAGGTCTTCTGCAATATTACTAATAAAATTATTAAAGAGAATGGGTCCAAGTACAGATCCCTGAGGTACTCGACTGGTGACAAGTCCATGCTTCGAATATACTCCATTGACTACAACCCTCTGTTGCCTGTCACTCAGCCACTGCCTTACCTATTCAACAATATTGGAATCCAAACTTAAAAATTGCAGTTTATTGATAAGCCTTCCATGTGCAACAGTGTCAAAAGCTTTACTGAAATCTAGGTAAGCAATGTCTACTGCACCACCCTGTTCTATAATTTTAGTTACCCAATCAAAAAAATCTATAAGATTAGTTTGGCATGATCTCCCTAAAGTAAACCCATGGGCCATGTTGTCTCTGATCCTGAAATCCATGTGATTTTTGATGTTCAACAATCCTATCGTTTAACATGGTTTCCATTACTTTCCCCACTACTGAAGTAAGGCTTACTGGCCTATAGTTGCCAGGCTCCTCCCTACTACCTTTTTTTGTGAATGGACACAACATTTGCTAACTTCCAATCTTCTGGGACTACTCCTGTTAACAGTGATTGGGTAAATAAATCTGTTAATATTGGTTTTGCTAGTACATCACTAATCTCTTTGAATAACTTTGGGTGTACTCCATCAGGTCCATAAGTCATTGACTTATTTGTCTTTACTTTTGACAGCTCAAATAGAACCTCTTCCTCTGTAAACTCACATGTAACAAATGACTAATTTGTCCTTTTTCCTAACTGAGGCCTTCCTTCATTTTCATCTGTAAATACTGAACAAAAATATTCATCGAGGCAGTCAGCTAGACCTTTATCCTCTTCTACATACATTCCTTCTTTTGTTTTCAATCTAACTAATCCTTGTTTTACTTTTCTTTTCTCATTTATGTATCTAAAAAATGTTTGGTCCCCTTTTTTCACTGACTGTGCTATATTTTCTTCTGTGTGTGATTTTGAAGCTGTTATAACTTGCTTAGCCTCTTTCTGCCTAATCTTATAGTTCTGTCTATCTTCCTCACTCTTGGTTTTTTAATAATTACTAAATGCTAACTTTTAGTTTTTTTACTATTTTGGTCACATCTGTGGAGTACCACAGTGGTTTCTTGAATTTTTTACTTTTACTGACAAGCCTAATGCAATTATTGTTGCCTTCAGCAGTGCAACTTTTAAATAATCCAATTTCTCTTGTACTCCGTTTAAACTTTTCCAGTCTGATAATGACTCCTTTACACATATTCCAATTTTAGAAAAGTCTGTTTTTCTAAAGTCTAATACTTTTGTTTTTGTGTGGTGTGACTCAGTCACTGTTCTTATATTAAACCACACTGACTGATGATCACTGGATCCTAAACTTTCACCTACAGTAATATCTGATACCAAATCTCCATTTGTTAACACTAAATCTAGTATGGCCTCCTTAAGAGTTGGCTCCTCAACGACCTGTTTTAGAGACAATCCCAGTAGGGGGTTTAGAATATGTGTGCTCCTGGCACAAGCAGCTATTTTGGTTTTCCAGTTCACATCAGTAAGATTAAAGTCACCCATGATGATAACTTCACCCTTTATTGTCATTTTAGCTATTTCCTCAACTAGTAGATTATCTTACTCTTCTCTTGTCCTGGGGGCCTATAAATCCCACCTACATGAGTTACTGTGTGATTACCAAATTCTAACGTTACCCAAACTGACTCTATGTTCGCCTCACTAAATTTTATATGGCTAGATTTTATGCTATCCTTCACATATAGGGCCACCCCTCCCCCTTTCTTGCCTTCTCTGCCTTTCTATATAAAGAGTACCCTGGTATTGCTATATCCTAGTCATTTTTCTCATTATACCATGTCTCAGTAACAGCGACTAAATCTACATTATCAGTTGCCATTATTGCCACAAGTTCATGGATCTTATTCCCTAAACTGCGAGCATTTGTAGACAGACTCTAGGCTTATAATTTTTTAACACACTTGCTACATGCACCTTCTGTTCTTGTTTTGGGGGGCAATTGGATTGATGTTTTATCACCCTTTTGCCCCCTCTCCTAGCTTAAATACATCCTAGCAAAACCTCTGAACTACTCACTGAGAACATTTGTTCCCTTTTGATAAAGATGCAAACCATCTTTTTTGTGCAGTTTATTTCCATTCCAAACAGAGCTACCATGAGAAATTAAGCCAAATCTTTTCTCCCGACACCATTCACCAAGCCACAAGTTAAAGTCCCTAATACGCATCCGCTTGTCGTTCTGAGTGTTATGCACAGGCAGAACTTCAGAGAATGACAGTGTGGAAGCAACCTGCCATATTTCATTGGCAAAAACGCAAAAAACTTCCTTTACCTCTGAAACCTCACTGCAAGCCAAGTCATTTGTCCCTAGATGGACAAGTACATTGGACAAGTACATCCAATTATCCTTCCTGCTTTACTCACTTAACAATATTACAAATACATCTCCTGTCTCTGTGAGCAGTAGCTCCGGGAAGACATCTCACAAGACCACTATTGTCCCTCTCCACACCTCTTATGATAGAATCCTCCAACAACAACTGCTTTCTATTAGGCCTCACCATAGTCTCAAAGCCTATCTCCATAATACTACTACACTCTGTGCTTGATCCTGTCTCCACAACACCACTACCCTCAGTGCCTGAAACTGTCTCCACAACACCACTACACCCAGTGCCTGAGCTTGTCTCCATAACACCACTAAAACTGGTGCCTGAGCCTGTCTCCATAACACCATTACACTCTGAAAGTGCTAAAAATGAATTATGTAGAGCAGGGGTTCCCAATTAATTTTTCCTGTGGAACATTTTGGCATAGTGTATCAAGATCGTGGAACCCCCCCATCCCCCCACTAAAAAAAAAATACAAAATTGCGCCTTTTTTTGTATGTGCCAGTGTGTATCTGTGTGTGTATATCACACACACTGACACACAGATACACACACCTTGACACACAGTGTGTATCTGTGTGTGTGTATGTATGTATCCGTGTGTCAAGGTGTGTGTATCTATGTTTCAACGTGTGTATCTGTGTTTGTATGTGCCTGTGTGTTTATCTGTGTTTGTATGCGCCTGTGTGTGTATCTCTGTGTCAGTGTGCATCTGTGTGTGTGTGTGTATATCTGACACACAGATACACTCTGACACACACATCTTGACTCACAAATACACACACACTCAGATACACACAGTGACATACACACACTTGCACCCACAGATACACACACACAGGCACATACAAACACACTGATACACAATGGCACATACACATACCTTGACACACTCGGACACATACTCTTTGACAGACACACATACATTCACTGACAAACACACATACTCTTTGACAGACACACATACACTCACTGACAAACACACATACTCTTTGACAGACACACATACACTCTCACTGACAAACATACACACTCTTTGACAGACACACATACACTCTCACTGACAAACACACATACTCTTTGACAGATACACATACAAACACACATACACTCTCACTGACA